CCCCTCATTACGTCGAACCACCATACACGATCCCATACATGGTTTACACTCATCCCCAATATTATTACTCTAACTGAGATTTAAAATTTTACAAAAAAAAAAAAATTGTCCAAAATTTAAAAAAAATGGACAAATAAAAATTTCTTCCGAAATTCTGTCCGTAAATTATTTTCAAATTTTTTCCAAAACTAACAAAAAACTAAAAGTTTTTAAAACTTTATCTTTCTCTTCTAATATATAGTTTTATTTAAACATTTTTTTTTATTAAAAAAAAAATAAATAAATAAATAAAACGAAATTAATAATAAATCAATTGTTTATTTATTTAAATTCTTTTTATTGTAAAAAAAAAAAAAAAAATGAATCGTTTTCGTTTTGTACTGATTTTCATTCAACGTTGGAAGATTCTCGAAATTTCTTTTCCCCTTTCACGTGTTTTTCGGATTTTAAATGTAATCTCAAATAATTATAATTTATCAGTTTCATATCGCACAGCAAACAATGAATTTCTTCAAACTTTGTCGTCTTTTGTCTAATTACAAATAAAAATAAAAATTTGAATGAAATTTTCTTATTGAAAAAAATAGAAAACAAAAAAAAAAAAAATTCGAATTAATCACCTGGAATGAGAGGCTATATCTGCAAGGTATTTCAAATTATCCGATAATTTTTTATAAAGTTCTTTCGGACAATTTATCCTGATTCCAGAATGAAGTGGATAAATAAAAGAGTCGTTATTTTCAAGTATTTTCGAATTGTCTACGATTAAATTCGATTCTTCCAATTTCCAAGCATATTGAACGGATGGAAATTCCAATTCTTTCCATTTCCTATCCCCTTTTAACAATTTTAAAAAACATTCTTTTATTTTCGTTTGATAATAAATCAAATCGTTTCGACTCGTCGAATAATTATAATTATTTGAATCCGTCGTTAATAATTTACTCATTCCGAATCGTAATTTATTAACGAGTGAAAAATCTTCCGTTGTAAATTCGCAATCGAAAATTATTTCCATGTCACGTTCTGGAAATAACGATTTATCGAATTCATCCGTTCCCAAACCGCAAATAAAACCGGTATACATCGTTCTCGATTCGTTTACCCTTTTTAACGATAAAAAAATTTTATAAATGAAGCATTAATCGTAATAATAATAACATTGTTTGCTTTTTTAATTAGAATAAATAATAAAAAAAAATAACAAACCTGAGTTCGATGGAAGGCGCGAAAATAATCGGGATGAGTGTTGCCAACCCGTGAACATTCGGCATGACCGTCGTGTTGTTCAAAACTAGTACGGATCCATCCGAACTTTGATTTACGTTGGCAGCGACGATTAGTCTTTCGTGCGGGTCGTTTGGATCGGTGTCGAGCAAAACGGAATTAACTGAGTAAGTTGATATTTTTATCATTTTATTACTACCTCCCTGTGTCAAACTGAATATTTTCATTTCCAAAGTGCTAAAAGGACCTCGAAGGTGTGCCTGCTTGATAATTATGTACCTGATTAATTTAAATTTGTTTTCGCGAACGCTTACTCGCGCGCTCTCTACGTGACGCCATTAACGTTAAAAACTCACCGTTATTTCGTGATGATCTTTTAATAACATTTCATTTGGCGGGGGATCCATCCAAATGTTTCGCGATTCACTTTTAAACCTTCCTCTGTTCCCACTTTTTCCTTTCGTTTTCAGTCTTAATTTATTATTTTCCTATATCGAATAGAATGCAAATCTTTATCATAAACTCACCGTTAATTATTCAGTATAATTTACCTTGGACGTTTGGCTTTCTTGACAAATCTCAGCAAAACCCTCATCGATCATTTTCTCATTTACGTTTGTCAATTCCAACAAATTGTTTTCATCGCATTTGTACAAAACAAACGAAACCAAATCGTCAACTATCGAATACACGGATCCAATAATAATTCCATCGTAAATTATCTCTTCGAATTCTCGTATCGATTCCGAACTCCATCTTCCATCGGGATTTTTAGTACTCGAAGGTTTTAATTTGGTCAAAGTGCAATGAAATGCCAAGGGAGGGATTTTCAATAGTTTTTCCGATAATTTAGTCCCGAAATTTTTTATTCGGGAAACGGGAACCAATTCGAAATTACCGAAATCGATAAAAAATACCTGAAAATCGTTAACGAAAAAAATTTTTTTTTTATTATTCTTCCTTTATTTTAAAATTTCTTGGAATTTTTTTTTTTTTAACGAACCTTAACTAAATTTTCTTCTACGAGTTCTATAATTTTCGCCCTGTACAACCAATAATCATTATCGACCTTATAAGGTGCGGCACAAAGGTCATCGACCTGAGGTGATTTGATAAAGGGGATGATATCTGCATCGGGTGCATTGAGCCAAATAAATAAATCTTTTTCGTTTTGTTCCGTGATTGAATTCTTATGGGCGACCCAAAAATCGTTCGGATTAACCACCTGATTAAAAAAATTAATTTTTATTAACACCTTTTCTACCTGGTACCAAATCAAGGTTCGAAAATTAATTGACAACTCACATATGTTATTTTTAAAAAAATATAATTTTCGTCATTTCCAGGCATGATCGGTTGATATTTTTCTATGGAAAATTCTTCGCTCACGTTTAAATTTGGGTATTTTTCATATTTTAACTGTTTCATCGATTCGGCTTTATTACGAGCCTCGTGCAAACTAAAAAAAAAAAAAAAAAAAAGGTTATTTTTTCATGTACCTAAAATTTTTAAGTTTAATTACTTACGGTAATATTTTTATTTCGAATGATTTTAATAGTTCTCTCATTTTCACAGCCTTATACACAGCCATTAAAGGTTTGGTCGATGAGCTGCCTCGTTCAGATTCGAATTCGATGAAAACTTTCCTACAATAATAATAATAACATATAAATAATATTTTTTGCCCCCCCCCCAACAAATTATGAGTTTGGTTAGATTATTTACGTGTTATCGTAAGTGATTTTCATTTCTTCCTGACAATCGCATAATTTTTCTTTAATTAAATCCGAATATATATGGGGAGGTTGTTCGATTGGATAATTTTTCAAATAAACCGTGTTGAAAGGATTTCTCCCGCATAAAATTTTCGCCGACTCTTTTTCCATTATTTCCTTTTCCCTTACACCGCGAAAAAAATAATTTGGATAAAATGCACCCGCCAAAACAAACTGAAAAAAAAAAAAAAAAATATTTCAAGAGTCTCACAATCAGGTTTTGAATTTTATCATCATAATTCTTTCGTACTTTCAATACAAGAGCCTTTTCTACGTCGGTCCAAGCGGAAAATTTACTCTCAGGTTCGATACCCATTCGTTTCAATCTTAATTTTATCTCATCCCTAAGGATTTTAACTTCTCTTAATGTTTTTATCTGAATGAAATGTCTTTTAGCCCATGCGATTTCACCACCTCCTTGAGATCTTTTAAAATAACCCGTGACGTGATTCATTCTCCATACCTGAATTGTAATTTTCGACAGTTAATTAACAATTGATAAATCATTTTTTAGAAAAAAGGTTTGACGATACGTGCATTGTAAACATTTAAAAAAGCTATGCAATCACTGTTCGAACCATCAGACCAATTAAGTTTTGAATTATATGCTTTTAAACGAGATTGAAATGTGTTACTGAAAACGCTTTTCAACGATAAACTCGAACCTGAAAAATAAAGGTTCAGTATAAATAATGCCATAATCATTTAATTAATTATTTATCAATACATGTCGTACCCATAACGATGCACTCGTCTAAACAATTGAAAACAAAACCTAACATGATTAATTTTGTTACGTAAATATCGACGGGTAATTCCGACATGACGTGACCTAAAAAAGTCAAATCCCCATCCGAAGTATTAGGAAAACCATTACAAGTAGGGAGCAAACCACCAATCTGTAATAAAAAAAAAAAAATTATAATAAGAAGAGGTAGTAGGAGTAAAAAGAATGAAACCTCTTGAATGTTATACCTCTTTTAAAACGAGAATCGTTTTTTTTATATTGTTTAAATTAGGTGGATCTATGGCTAATGCTAAAAGAGCTTTCGGTGACCCCATTTCTAATTTTTTCGTTTGTAAAATGAGTTTTTCCAGTGAACACCTTAAAATTTCCGGTACGCAATAATCGCTTAAAGACTAAAAGAAAAAGATAATAATGATAAATTGTTGAGAAAAATTAATTCCAATGAATTAGGACTTACGTCGTAGTTTTTTTTGTAAATCATTCTGTAAACTCTTCCATCCATTACTCGTCCAGCACGTCCAGATCTTTGAGCCAAACTGGATTTCGATGCCCAAAATAATTGAAGACTTGAAAAATTAGTTTTTGAATCGGTTACTAATTTTTTAGTTATGCAATAATCAATAACTAAAATTTTATATATGTGTCGTTAATTTCAAATACAATCGAAAAACATATTGAAAATTTAAAATTGAAAATCATACCAAACATGATATCAGGTACGGTTATTGAACTTTCGGCAATGTTAGTTGATAAAATAATTTTCCTATAACCCGAAGGTGGAGGAAGAAAAGCTTGAATTTGTTCTTCTATTGTTATAGATGAGTGTAATGGAACGGGATGCCATTTATATTTAACATTTCTGAAAAAAAAAAAAAAAATTTTGTCAATTTTGTCAATTAGTAAAAAGTTTAGTAAAAGTAAAACTAACCCCGATGTGTAGTTTTTAGGATCTTTTAATTTATTATAAAAATCTTCGATTTCGTGAATTCCGGGTAAAAAAATCAATACGGATTTTTTATCATTATCATTTTTATCAAATTCATCAAATTGGCAAATCAATTTAATTCCCGCAGTGATAAGCGAATCTGTTATTTGTGGCACTTCGAAATCAATGACAGGAACCTGAAATCATCTCATTATTATTATTTTAAAATGAATTATATTTTTATGCAAAAAATATATTTAACTTACCTCTTTTAAAAATGCCAAGTCATCCAAATAATAAATTTGTAATTCGTGATTGTTTTTTTCCTGTATGTTAATGATTGGTGCTGGTCGAAATAATCCACAAAGTGGTCTCTCGAAATAATTTGCAAATTTAGTCGATTCAACAGTTGCACTCATTAAAATAACCTAAAATATTCTTTTCAAAATTTATACATTTTCAATCACTAAAAAGAAAATTTTTTCCCCCCGATTTGTACCTTAACATTCCTGGAATTTCTAAACAATAATTTTTTAACAACCAATAAAAGCATATCCATATTATAATCTCTTTCGTGTACTTCATCTAGAATTATGTGCGTGTATTCATTCAAACTTTTTTTATTAATGAATGTTTGTAGGAGAACTCCAACAGTTGCATATGTTAGCCTAGTGTCTTCTGACGTACGATCCGTTAGTCCTACCTTAATTACATACATAAAATTAATTAATGGGTACCATGAACTCTAAACTCGAATTTGTGTTTACCTTATATCCACAAATACTACCCAATACCCAATCTCTTTCCTCGCAAACTCTTTTAGGTATGGTTATGGCAGCTATTCTTCTAGGTTGACTTACAATTATATTACAATATTCATTTTTTTCCGCATGGTGATCAATTAAATATTGTGGTATCTGAGTTGTTTTACCGCAACCAGGTGGACCTGTTATTATGGTAACTTCGTTTAACTCTATCATTGATAATATCTGCGATTGAAAGGTTTACATTGAGTTGATATCAGATGTAAAAATATGGCGAAAATGATTTCACAAGGCTTACTTTTTCCCTGTACTCATTTACAATCAAACTGTTGTTCTTTTTTGAATTTTTCGAGAAATAAATATCATAAATGTTTTTCTTAAGGTCTTTTTTCATTTCACAATCATCAGATGATGTAGCATCGATTGAAATAAGTTCATCAATTCCAGAATTTGTCGTAGTAAAAGAACCGGATGGGGATTCATTTCTATCATTGTTTTCCAACTTGCATAGTTCTTCTTTTTCTTCCAACACATATTTGTGTGCATAATTTTCATCTTCCTCAAATTCCTGATCAGATGTATTTTCCTCGAGTGATTCGGTGACAGTTATGTGACCATTGGTTTGACCACCTTTAATACATATTTTAGGCAATGGTTTGGAGAAATCGAAAAAATCCATTTTTTAATGAAATTCTGAAAATTAGTATTATTATTATTATTTTGTTAGAAAAGTTATTAAATATTAAAAGTTAATTAAAAATTATTAAAATTAAATAAATTTTTGAATGTTAAAAAATACACAAAAAAATTATGATCAGTGATAAAACGTTACATTTAAAATATTCTAACTGTCATTTATTAAAAATTTAATAAAAAAACCTTTAGTTGATAACATTAATCGACAAAATCATTTCTCAAAGGCTAAAAAATAAAAAAAAAACAAACAAAGATGGGATTTGTAGGATTAAAACTGAATTCCTTTTTGAAAAATGAACATGTTGAAAAATATTTTAAAAAAAAAAAAAAACGTTATTTGCTAAAGCGCGCTCTACATTGAATTAAATAATAAAAAATGGTTGAAACGTTAACGATGGCAAGGGTTGTCATTTAATAATAAATTTAATAAATTTGTTTGTTTTATTGTATATCCGTTATGATGATTATAAATGATGGTAATTTTATCTTTGCTAAAAGATTTTAAATAATTTTATTTCTTTTGTCTTTTTTTTTTTTCATTTGTTTTTAGAACTTGGTCATGATTGGTCTGTAATGTGTATCAGAATATTGTTTTTTTTTTACTACTTACTTTCAATTTTTTCACAAGTTTTTACAAAACTTTTTTTAAATCACATTGTTAAAATCAGTTCAAAAACAGAAAAGTTAATTTAAAAAAAAAAAAAAAAATGCATTATTACTATTCAAAAATATAAATTCTAGGAGGTCTATACTAGTTTAAACAAAAAAATGGCACGTTGGAACAGTTTATGAGATTAATTTACAATAAGTTTAGTTTATTGAAACTAAAGCTAATTCTAAAAATTTTATAAGTTTACTTGAAATAAAAACAACTCATGAACTAAAATATAAACCTCTTTGACAAAATTATCAGGTTTAAAATGAAAAATTTAGTTTATAGAAACTTTCCCCTGATTGTCTAACTTTTCATGTGAGGAATGTTATCGAATAAAAATCATTAATTAAAACATTTTGATTAATTTATTTTAGTTACTTTTAAGTAACTAGACTTTTATTTTTTAGCCACTGAAGTATATTTTTTAAATTACTGTAACAAATTTATAAGTGCAATAAAAAATAAACCCAAAAATTTAACTCGAAATTGTCCCATGATGGTTAGTGAAGTTGTTAATTATTTAAATTAAAATGAAATACATTCAGATGAATAAGATCAGGTGATGATAATTGGGTTTTATTTAATGCTTAAGCTTCTTCTATTTCAACAAATCGAAATGTTTTTTCATATTCAAAGTCATATTTTTAAAATACACCTGATATGAAAAATCATATTTAAAGACAGGAAAATGATGACCATTGTGATTCAGATACATGATGATATGTTTCCAGGCATTTTTTTTTTTTTTAAATAAACTTTTACAAAGAAAATAATCTGTCATCTGTTGCTTATTATTTACATCCCAGAGAATCCGAAGAATGGAACAGGGCCTGAAAAGTCATTAAATATGATTACAGTAATAATCATTTTTGATTTTGGCATTGTGACAACATTACAAAAAAAAAAAAAGTAAATTTAAGTTTACACAAAATTATTTTAAAGTAAACCATCTTTATGTATCAAAGCGACTTTGACTGGTTTTGTTCTAGTTTGGAAGAATTCGAATAAGAGCCAACTGGCTTTGGTAAACATTTTCATTTTTTTTCTTTTTTTTTTTTTTAATTTTAGTGTTAAAGTCCTTTAAAATGTTGACTCCATCTTTTTCTTTAATTAAAGTAACAATAAAATTTCATCCCAATACTTTTTATTTTAAGTTATAGAGGGTGTCATCAAAAGTTTTTTTTTTAAATTTGTGTGTAAAATTATTTAGTCACCAATGAGAGGAATTCATTTTTTAAAAACCGTTATTTTTTTGTTTAAATCTTATCATTAATTGATTTTTCAAATAAAAAAAAATTTGGTTTTAAGGTGTGGTGCATTTGTTTGTTTTTTTTTAAAAGAATTTAAAATAACGTTAATCCTTCAGTACCGAAAATAGCTTAGTTTTAGTAGTTAGTTATCAAATTAAATAAGTTTTTTTTTATTTAAGCTCTTATTATTATATTTTGTTAAAATTTTTTAAATTAAATTAATATAGTAAAATGAATAAAAAAATTATTTTTAATTGTTTTACAATTATAGTTGGTAGCATTGTTCACGGTCAGATTATTTATCCATATGGTGCATCAATTAAAGTAAATTTGAAATTATTTTATTTTATTTTTTATTTTTTTATTGGATTAGTATTATTTGTGATATTTTTTAGTTTGTTACGGGAATAAGTACACCGATACCCGTAAACATCGAAGGTGGTTCACTATCTTGGTTTACTAATTTTCAAGTAATTTACGATTTACCCGATAATGTCACTTATTTCGAACCTTATAAAATAATGGAAAAAAGATCAGTTAAAAATACATTTAAAAGGTTAACAATATATCGTGCTTTATCCGAATACATAAATGGGTAATAATCATTTGATTAATACTTTTTTAAACCCAATTTATTATTACAAATCCAAAATTTTAATTATTTTTAGTTTAGGATTTATCGGAAATGAATGCTTGCATAAACTCATATGCAAATTTTCAAGAAACAAAAAAAGTAAAAAAAGTTTATTTAATGAAGTTGTCGAGTTATTGTTTTCGTAAGTATATTATTTAAATATTGATTAATATTTCATTTCATTTTGTTTTCTTGTGATAAATGTCATTTTTTTAGTCCACTAGATGATTTTAAATTGGGTTTGAACGAATATAAAAATGCTCAATTACAAGGATTACATAATAATACGGATTGTGGAATAATATATAAAAATTGCAGCATCGCGGAAAATTCAATATTTCTTAATTAATTCGCAGCATAGATTTCGAATTTAATGAGAATTTATATCATTTTTAAATACTTTATTGTTATTTTTATCATTATATAGATTTAAAATTCATATAAATAAATTAACAATATTAGAATGTGTATAAACAAATTTTTTTGGCGCGATAATATATTAAATTTTCCTTCTAATGCCACTTTCAAATTCCTAAATATTTTATATTTTGAATGAATATATATACTCTATGACACGGGCAAACCTGTCAATGGCCCCTTAACGAAAACAAAGAATTATATAAAAAAAAACCTGTAAGAGTTATTAAAATTTAGTCATTGGCGGTAAATATATAATATTATAATAGAATTAATTAAAGGTTTTGAAATAAAATGGCCGAATCTGATAAAAAAGAAAAAAATGGAAGCGATTTAGAAACGGATAAGTAAGTAATATCGGAAAAATTTTTTCCTTTTTTTTTTTTGTTGTTGTTGTGTGTGTTGTAAACTTTAATTTTAAAAGTATTAATTTAAATTAACACGCGGCTTTTTAAAATAATATATTACTTTTTAAAATAAAAATTTGATTCGTAAATTAATTAAGTATAGTAAAATAAAAATCAGACACGATAAAATTAAATGATAAGTTTAAACGTGAACTGATTGAATGAACTCTCTTAAATATATATGTAAAATAACTTTTGATACGGCAAAATTTTCTTAAATTAAAATTACTTGTCGTAAATGAAAATTATATTGAAACTTGCTAAAAAATTATTAAAGTTTTTTAATTTATACGAATTAACCCAAATTTTCACGTATATATTTTAAAATTTGAAACAATTTTTATATAAGTAATTTTTATATCAATTCAGTTGTAAGCGCTTTTTTGTTTTTAAAAAAAGTTAAAATTAAATTTTTACTTATTATTTATAATACTTATTTATAAATAATATTATTTATTATATTATTCTACTTATTTATTTATTTATTCTATATTAAAATATTGTTGAAATTAATTATTTTTGTTTTATTATATTTTAAAGTTAAATATTTACTCGAGGTAATAAATTATTATTTTTTTTTTTGGTAATTAATTTTTAACAAAGATGTTTATTTAAACTAATATTATATTTTCCCTCCTATTTAGCTCAGAGTATCCTTAATTATTACTGTACCTGAAAAATATGCCTTGAAAAGTTAAATTTGAAAAATAAGGAAAGGAATTTATGAGCTTTCTGTATTGTTTGCATCAATATTTTCTACATGCCGATTGAAAATGAGTTCCTTGTAACAGAATAATGAATCAATCACCTGATATTTCTAGTTGAAAATGAATTTGTTTTAACTTCTACCTAAATTTATCTATGCCCTGAAGTTAAAACAATATAATTTTTCAACCCCAAATAATTTTTTTAATGAAATGTAAAGTAGTCGTAAGTAAAATTACAAAAAAATTTTTTTTAAAAATTTTCATCATAAAATTATTTCGAATAAAACTTACTGAATACTTCAGAATGCATTTTCTACTCCTTAATTTAATTGTAATGAATTTTCTTTTATTTGTGTTTACAGTACATTAAGTGAACTGAGTTTATCAAGTTCGATATCACGTGAATGTTTTATTTCAATTCATTTTGCCGAAACAAGCTTGGAAAAAATGGAAACATATTTTTTAAAAGAACAATTTACAGATGTTGTTTTAATTGCTGGTAATGTGCCTGACTTTTACTACCTTTTAATTTTTAAAAAAAAAAAACTAAAATTAAAATGAAATAATAATTTATAGGAAAACGACGAATTCCAGCTCACAGGCTTGTTTTAAGTGCAGGTTCGGAATATTTTGCAGCCATGTTTACTAATAATTTAAAAGAAGCTTCACAAACTGAAATAGAACTTCATGATGTCGATGGAGATGTTCTTTGGTCATTAATTAATTATTGTTACACTGGAAAAATTGAATTGTTTGAAAATACAGTTGAAACCGTTTTAGGTTTGTTATTTAAAAAAATAAGGTATAATTTAATTTTAATTTCCCCTCATTTTGTCAATGTATCTGGATATATTTCAGGTACTGCTTGTTTACTTCAGTTATCAGATGTTGTAGAAGCCTGTTGTACATACCTTAGAGAACAATTACATCCGTCCAATTGTATTGGTATAGGAGTATTTGCTGATTCGCAAGGTTGCAGAGACCTTTTACTAGCTTCACAGAATTACACAGCAGTTGGTTTACTTTGAATTTTATTTATTTTTCACTGTAAAAAAATAATGAGAATGTAATTCTATTGATAAATATTTCAGGAACATTTTTTAGAAGTCATTAAAAATCAAGAATTTCTCATGTTGTCAGCGGATGAAGTTGCCAAACTATTGGCTTGCAATGATCTCAACGTATCCTCCGAAGAAGTTATTTTTCACGTAAAAATAAAATATTTAAATGTCTTTTCTCGTTTAAATTAATTTAATTTAATTTAATTTTTTTTTTTTTTTTGTTTTAAAGGCATTAATGTCTTGGGTTGAATATCTTCCTGACAGAACTGCTCACGTTGGCAAATTATTAAGTCTTGTTAAACTGCCATTACTTTCCCCATCTGTAAGTTTTTCCTACGTCATTATTTTTACGTCATTTCGACACGGGTAAATAAGTCATTTTGGATTTTTTAGTTTATTGTAGATCATATAGAAACAATTCCATTATTCAAGGACAATCCAGAGTGTCGAGAACTTATTATGGAAGCATTTAAATATCATTTGCTACCAGAAAGACGTTCAATGTTACAATCTCCCAGAACGTGTCCTAGAAAGAGCACAATTGGAGATTTGTACGCTCTCGGTGGAATGGGTGCCAATAAAAATGTCGTAAGGTGAAATAAAATGATTTTTGTCAATGATGTTGTTTTTTTTTTATAAATCGCATTTTAAATGATTTAATTATTATTAAATTCTAGTGTTGAAAAATATAATGTGAGAACGGATACGTGGTCTCGTTTCGATAAATTAAGTTTTAGGAGGCTACAGTGCGGAGTGGCCGTAGTCGATGAAAAACTTTACGTGGTCGGGGGTAGAGATGGATTAAAAACATTAAACACAATTGAATGTTACGATATTAAAACTAAAAGTTGCACAAACTTACCCCCCATGTCAACGCCGAGGCACGGTTTGGGTGTTGCTGTACTCGAGGGTCCATTGTACGCAGTGGGAGGTCACGACGGATGGAGTTTTCTCAACACGGTCGAAAGGTGGGATCCGCAAACTAAGACGTGGTCGTTCGTTACTCCCATGTTAACACAGAGATCTACGGTCGGAGTGGCTGTCTTGAACGGAAAGTTATACGCTGTCGGAGGGCGAGACGGAAGTTGTTGTCTGAGAACTGTCGAATGTTACGACCCTCACACGAACAAATGGGTCGTATGTGCTTCCATGATCAAAAGAAGAGGCGGAGTAGGCGTAGGTAAATATCACTCTTATAAATTCAGATCCTGAAAATAAAATCAAAAATAAGTTTTTAACATAATTTTTTATGACAGGTGTTCTTAATGGTTATTTGTATGCATTGGGAGGTCATGAAGTACCCGGATTGAATCCATCAGCAGCGAGATTTTCATGCGTTGAAAGGTTAATAAGGTTAATTTACATTAATGTTAAACCCACAAAAACAGAAGTCTTAAACGAGGTTTTGATTTAGGTACGATCCAAAAGCTGATTCTTGGGTAACGGTGGCGTCCATGAGCGTTGGAAGGGATGCCATAGGTGTTTGTATTTTAGGCGAAAGATTGTTTGCCGTTGGAGGATACGATGGGAAATGGTATTTGAAACTAGTCGAAGCTTACGATCCACAGAAAGACGAATGGCAAGAAGTTTCACCTTTAATCAACGAAAGAGCGGGAGCTTGCGTTGTTTTAATTAAATCTACTTGAAAATAATTTTAATTCGTATCATTGAATTCGAATTCTAATATCTCAAAAGTCAATTTTTAAAATACTCAAAAAGAAGAATTCATGTGTTCAATTCAGTATTATTCAGCATTTGTAAATATATATGAAATTTTAATATGATGTATGTCAAAAAAAAAAAAAAAATCAAAGTATATTTTTATTTTAAGGCCAAATAACTTGAAAACAAATATCTATTTATTTTTACTCTATTTTAAAGTCTTATTAATTTTTGTAAATAAATTTTTACCAATGTAAATCTAAAAATTTGATTTTGAGTGTTTATAATTCTATAGAATATACTAGAAAAAATTAGTTTTTAAATTTGTGTGTGGTGCTAAAAACAAAAAAACTGTGATCGGTGTAAATGAATTTTTTATATATATATATATTACTCGTGTAACGTACTTATTTATTTTTTAAAATCATAGTTGAAAATTTGTTGACAATAATGTTATATTTTTATATTTTATAAACATTTTTTATTATTTTATAAATGTTCATTTTTTTAATAATTCAATATGATGATGGTGTACTATAGAAAATCATTTTAACAATTACCTATATTTTATATTTGGAATTTATTTATTTATTTTTTTTTTAAGTATGATCAAAGAAAGTATTTAATACTAAAATTTAATATAATGAATTTAGATAATTAGGGTTTTTTTTTTTTTGTTTTTCTTTTATAATTTGTGCTATATTGTAATTATCTGTGATAAGTTTTGTTATTTTTATGATTGTTTTAAGCGGACTTTATTGTTGCTAACTTGGTGTGAAAATAATAACAACGACTCACCGCCTGTTTTAAACTAGACGAAACTCAATTTGGCGCTTATTTTCAAGGTTAAATTAGTTAAATGTTATAAGCCATGTCGGTGAGTAGTTTCATGTTAAAACTTAAATGATGGTTTGCACCACGTGTTTGACCAAATTTAGTTTGAATTAAATTTTTTATTAAAAAGTGCTGTTTTTTTTTTGAAATTTTAATTGTTTTTTATTAACAGAGTAGTCAAAATTTATCTTCGGACGCGGGAGAAGAAGCTAATGGAAATCCAGCTACTTCTCCTGCACCCGACATAGATGATCCTTTAGAGGATGATATTTTCGGTTTGAATGATCAACCTAGTGTTAGCCAAGATGAAGAAGAAGAAGATGGGGAAGATTTATTTGGTGCTAATTTGGAAAAGTAAGTTTAAAAACGAAAGTTTGTTACTTTAATCTGTTTAATGTCGTCAATGGATTTACTGTCACATTTTGTTGGCGAGTTTTAAAGATTTTTTAGTTATTAAGTATTCGTTAATTTTAGTGATTATCGGCCTATGCCAGAATTGGATACTTATGAAGGTAGAGAAATCGATGACGAAAATGAGTATGATGCAATGTCGATCGGTGAAAGAAGAGCTGCTGAGAGAGCAATGGACAAGAGAGATGGTGGAAGAGGCCTTGGATTTGATCAATTGCTTTATTGTTAGTAATTAAACTTTTTTTTCTAATTTAATTGTATTTTAATCAAAAAAGTACATGGAAATTTTTTTTTTTTCGAAGCTGAAAGCGATGATGGAGATTCACCGAGAAAAAAACGAAGAAGAGCAGAAGAAGCAGCTTTTGGTGATGTCGAAGAAATGGTATTAATTTTAAACTTCCAAGTTTATATTTTTATATAAAATATCACTTTTTAATTTTTTTAAATATTTTCTCGATTAAAAGGAACCTGTTGAAGATTTACAAGACAGTAGAGGGCGTTCAATAAAAGAATGGGTTCTCGTACCTGATACTAGCATGGAGATAGCGAATAGATTTCGTAATTTTCTGAGAACTGCAGTCAATGCCAAGGGTCGTCAAGTATTCAAAGAAAGAATGAGACGAATGTGTGAAAATAACGAGTCTAGCCTTGTAGTTGATTATCCTATGCTTGCTCAAGCTAAAAACGATTTGGCTTATTTGCTACCTGAAGCTCCCTTTGAAGTCCTATCAATATTCGATGAAGTCGCAAAAGACTTGGTGATGGAAATGTTTCCAAATTATTCTAGAGTAACAAAAGAAATAAGAGTTAGAATTGCTGAATTGCCTTTGATAGAAGATATTAGAACATTTAGAAAAACTCATTTGAATCAATTAATACGTACCACTGGAGTAGTATCTTCTACAACTGGTATATTACCTCAGTTGTCAATTGTTAAATACGATTGTGGAAATTGTGGAAACGTGTTGGGACCCTATCCTCAAACTCAAAATGTTGAAAATGGTCCAGGAAGTTGCAGCGTCTGTCAGAGTACGGGACCGTTCATTGTAAGTAGAATCCTGAAAATAAATTTTAATTTATAAGCTGTATAAAAAAATTAAAATAAATAATGTATATTATGTAGGTTAATATGGAAGAAACCGTTTACCGTAATTATCAAAAGATAATTATTCAGGAGCCTCACAACAAAATTCCTGGCGGAAGAATACCACGTTCTAAACCTTGCATTTTATTAGACGAACTTTGCGATCGTGCTAAAGTCGGAGACGTAATCGATGTGACTGGAATTTACACTCACAGTTATGACGGTTCCCTTAACACGGAGCAAGGTTTTCCAGTATTTTCAACCGTTATCATAGCTAATTACATTGTAGTAAAAGACGCAAAGCAAATAATACAGTCACTGACCGACGATGATATAAATTCAATCTTGAAACTTTCGAAAGAAAAAAAAATCATCGAGAAAATAGTATCCAGCATTGCTCCATCGATCTACGGTTACGATTACATAAAAAGAAGTTTGGCTTTGGCTTTGTTCGGTGGAGAAAGTAAAAACGCTGGAGAAAAACATAAAATCAGAGGCGATATAAATGTTTTAATATGCGGAGATCCTGGAACGGGTAAATCCCAGTTTTTAAAATATATAGAACAGGTTATTTATTATTTTATCACGTTAAAATTAAATGTTTTTAAAAATTTTGACGTAAGATAAAACCGGAAATGAAAAATTTATTATTTTTTAGGTTGCACCGCGAGCCATTTACACGACTGGTCAAGGTGCTTCTGCCGTGGGTCTTACTGCTTACGTGAAAAAAAATCCCGCCAATAAAGAATGGACTTTAGAAGCTGGAGCTTTAGTATTGGCAGATCAAGGCATTTGTCTAATAGATGAATTCGACAAGGTAAAAGTTGAACATTATACCAGAACGCTTAGAAATTTTTAAGGGCTGCAAAACTAATTCATTTGCTTTAATTTGGTAAAGATGAACGATAGAGATAGAACGTCAATACATGAAGCAATGGAACAACAAACGATTTCCATTTCCAAAGCTGGAATAGTTACTTCCCTTCAAGCCAGGTGTTCAATAATAGCAGCTGCAAATCCCATCGGTGGAATTTACGAATCGTATTTGCCGTTCGCTAGTAACGTATGATGATTTGATACCGTCAATAATTTCCCTTCTTCTCATTTAAACGAATACATTTTAATTAAAAAAAAAAAAAATTACAGGTTAATTTATCGGAACCGATACTTTCTCGATTTGACGTTCTTTGCGTCGTTCGCGACGAAGCCGACGTGGTTCAAGATCAAAGATTGGCACAATTCGTTTGCAATTCACACGTTAAACATCACCCGATACCGAACGAACACGTGGAAACCCCCGAATTGAATTCGGAAGACAATCAAATCCCGCAGGATTTACTTAGGAAATACATTGTTTACGCGAAACAATACGTTCATCCCACTCTTGAAAAAATTGATCAAAACAAAATAGCAAAATTGTACAGTCAGTTGAGACAGGAAGCTTTGGTCACGGGAAGCATGCCCATCACTGCACGTCACATAGAGAGTTTAATTCGAATGTCCGAGGCTCACGCGAGAATACATTTGAGAGAAAATGTCGTGGAAGAAGACGTGAACGTCGCCATTCGAATCCTTTTGGAAAGCTTCGTCGAAACTCAAAAATTTAGCGTCATGAAAGCAATGAAAAAAGTAACCATTTAATTTCAAAAAAAAAAAAATTACCTCGAAGGCATGTTGACAAACAAAATTTTACTTTCAGGCATTTCACAAATACTTATCATACGGGAGAGATACAGACGAAATATTATATTTCTTTTTGAGAGAATTGACAATTTTTCATTTGGGATTGGCGAGGAGCAAAGGAGATACGGACATAATGATTGTTAAAATACCCGAAAGGGATTTGATGGTCAAGGTAAGTGGGATACCCGCTCAAGCTAAGCATAACAAAACCTCTCGCCTGTATTAACGAGGGGAGGGGGAGGAGAGGGGAAGAAGAAGAAGAAGGAAAAAAAAAAAAAAGCAACAAATTTTTTTTCCAGGCTAAATCGATTGGTGTCAACGATTTGACGGATTTTTACAAAAGTAAAATATTTAAGGATAATAATTTTATATACGACGCCATGGAAAACGTAATCGTACAAAGTGTGCCGAACGTTTAAAAAAACTTTTTATTTCGTGTTTTTTTTTTTTTTTTTTTTATTTTTTTTTTTAAATTTAAGTTTAAGTTTAGTTTTAATAAATCGTTTTTTTTGTTTTTTGTTTTACTATTATTATTATTATTATTATTTTTTTTTTTTTTTTTTTTTTTATTATTATTATGTAAAGTTTTTATAATTTAAATTGTGATAAACGAAAACGAATCGTGTAGGCACACACGCAAATTTAAAATTAAAATCGGCGGGAAAAGTACGTTAAATAATAATAATGATAATATATTTGGCTTGAAATTGTATCTGGTTTTATATTTGGATAAAAGCCAGATGTAAAGTCATGGGAGCAAAGCGCGGCCATATTTATTAGATTTATCCGAATTTCATTTGTTTGCGTTCGAAAGGGGGGTAGTATTTGAACAAAAAAAATTAAAAAAAAAAAAAATTTAATCGAGTAAGTTGTTAATTATTTTTTGTTATTGTTGTGATTTTTAATAATTGGTTGATGATGATGATAATAATAATAATATTATTTATGTAAATGTTTTCAGGATGGGAAAGCAAGAAAAGGGAAAAATGAGGAATAAAATGGAACGAGAGGAAGAAGTTGCTTGGGATTTATTAGATCGTTGCCTTCTTCCAATAATATTTTCTCACGCATCGGCCGTCATAATATCGACCGTATTGAACACTCTTTACATATCTCAAGTTTCGTCATTTTCGTTATTTTTACTATTTCTAATATGCAGTTTATCCGGAGTTTTTTTCTACCACAATTTAAAAGTAAGTTTGCCTCAAATTTTAAATCTGAAAGGGTTTCATCAAAAGAGCCCCCTTGACACATTATTATTATTATTATTATTATTTAATTCATTGTAAATTTTTATGGTTTTTTTTTTTTTTTTTTTTTTTTTTGCATAAGAAAAACTATAAAATTTGAGTTAAAAGGAATTTGTGTGGAGTTTTACATAATTCGCAAGAGAGAGAGAGAGAGAGAGAAACGGGATTCTTAAAATAAACTTGGCTCATCTTCATTTAAAAAAATAAAAAAAAAATTTTCTAGTAAAATTAGATCGTTTCCCCCCCGCCCCCCGTTAAAAAGAAATTTAATTGTTTTTTTAATTTAAAAAAAAAAAATTCGTTTGATGACGATTATTATTATTATTATTATTATTATTATAGGTGAGAACGGCTGGAAAATGCGTTTTGGTAACGTCATGCGATTCAAAACTCGGTATTGCATTGGTTAAACAACTCGATGATTTGGTGAGTTTTTTGTTATTGTTATTATTATTATTATTAAACAATGATGATGATGATGATTGGGGGATGGTGGTGGTGGTGGTGGGGGGTGGTTTGCTTTTAGGGATTTACCGTTTTCGCGGGTTTCGTTAAGAAAAACGAAGAATCAAATAAACTCAAAGAAGTGACATCCGGTCGTTTGCACATAATCGAACTCGATGTAACAAACGAGCGACAAGTTTTATCAGCGGCGGATTACGTTAAAAAAAATTTACCATCGAAAACAAACGGTGGGTAAATGATGATGATAATGATAATGGATTTGAGATCACGTGTTGTTTATTATCATTATCATTATGATAAATTTTGTTTTTTTAAGGTTTGTGGGCTTTGATCAACAGCGCGCAATCCGCGGCTTTCGGAGAAGTCGAATGGGTACCACCCGCTGTTTTCCGTCAAGCCGTAGAAGTTAATTTATTATCCGTCATAAACGTGACGCAAACGTTTTTGCCACTTTTGAGAAAGTCAAAAGGTCGAATCGTCAACATCGTGAGCGTTCTCGGAAGGATTTCGTCACCCGTGAGAGCGCCATTTTGTTCCAGCATGTCGGGCGTGGAAAGTTTCAGCGATTGTTTGAGATTGGAAATGAGACGTTGGGGAGTGGATGTCGTCGTCGTCGAACCCGGGGATTTCACGACCGGAAATCTATGGTTTAACGATCGTAAAATGTTACAAGACGCGAAAAAAATGTGGAAAGAAATGCCGGAGGAAACGAAAGAAGATTACGGGAAAGATTATTTCGAATACAAAATCAGAGGATTGGAAGAATACGCGAAAGAACCGGTGAGCGAGTTGAAATAAAAAAAAAAAAAATGTCTGCCGCCAATTGTTTTAATTGAGTTTTCGTTTTGTCTTGTTTTTTAGGAAACGGATTTGACTCCAGTTGTAAAATCGATAATTGATTCCGTTTGTAGAACTTTTCCACTTCCGAGATATACTCCGATAACGAGAAGAGAAAAAATGAAGGTATTCGTATCCGATCACTTACCAAGGTCTGTCTATGATATTCTCTATAATTAATTAATATCTTTAACTGTTATATGTACGCGAATTCTATTAGTTTTAAATTGTTATCATCATCATCATCATCATCATTCTCATTATTATCATTTACCGTTTATATTATTTGTATATTAATAATCATTTGAACAGGAAACAAGAGTGAGAGAGAGAGAGAGAGAGAAGGAGAGAGAAATAGGTCACGGGACAAAAAGAAAAGAAAAAAGAAATGGAGGAAACTTAAATTAATTTATTTTAATAATATTACGTCATCGATTGGTAACGGTTAACGATTAACATACACGACAACATTGAACTCGACCAACTCTCGATTTTTTCGCATCTTAATTATTATTATTATTAATTTTTCTTATCACAGTTCGCTACGATTCTACTTTATCTGCACGTTTATCGAAATTTAATTTAAAAAAAAAAAAAAAACGATACGATATATCGCCGATCGATTAATCGCTCAAGGTCTCGAACGAGAGGAGGAACAACAACAACAACTCGATACTTCTTATTTGAAATTTAAACTTTTGCCGTACTTCCTTCGCTTTTGGTCACGCTTTTTTTAGCTTTTATAGAAATGGACGAATCGGATGTTCCAGGACTGTACTCATATTGGATTCCATCTTGTGGATTTTCATAAACCACGTGATTCGCTCTGTCGTCGGATATCGAATGATGATGATGATGATGATGTCTTTTCGATTTGAGATAATGCGTGGCTCTGGAGTCTTGAACTGGAGTTATCGTGTAACCCGCTCTTATCAAAGCATCGATTTCTTGTTTGGTGTAAGATCTCGGTTCGGTGGATGCTACCGGTGCTGGAGATGGAACTGCTGGAAGTCTCACGACTGGAACTTTTTCGCTGGAAACACCATCGGCGGCGGCGGCGGCGACGGAAGCGGCGGTGAAAGATAAAGATTTTGGAACGGAAGATCTGGAAACGAAAATTGAAGATCTCGACGTTGGTTGTTTACCTCCCTGTGAAAAATAACCTCTTCCGGCAACGGGATGAAGAAGAGTCGACGGGGATGATGGGATTTCGGGGTGCCTGATTGAAGAACCTGATACCGCCGCTGGAGAGGATTGAGGCTGTTGAACGTAATGAACCTAAAAATTAATTTAAAAAAATTTTTTTTTTTTTTTTTTTTTCATGTTTATTATCGCATAAATTCGTTTTATCGTTTTAGATAAGTTAACTAAATCACTTGTGGAATTGCTTCTGGAGCTGGATGGACGTATTGGGGTTGAGCTGTTGGTTTCGTCGTCTCGATGAGATATTGCTGTTGGGATAAAGCTTGCGACAAGTATTGGGGTTGAACGGATGAAGGAGTTGGCAAAACGGCTGCTGCTGCTGCTGCTACTGGTCTTCTTGGCTACAATAAAACGAATAAGGAGGGATTACACAACGTTTAACAGGTGGGAGTCGTTATCTCGTACAAATCGGTAAATATTATCATTATTATTATCTAACTTTATCTTGAGTTGTTTCGACGGGTTGATAGTATACTTGTTGAGGTACGGTAGTCGAACGGGATGATTGGGCGTATACTTGACTTTCAGGTACATATTGAGTTACGTATTGCGGTTGCGGTTGTGGTTGTTGTGGACTCTGTGCTTGGGCGTACTGCTGTTGGAGTTGGTAGGCTTGAGAATCGACAGGTACCGTTGTGTAAACTAAATACAATACCAATTACTTAAAGTTCTTTTGCAGGTTGAAGGAAGGAAGAGTCGTAGGGATGTCAGTCAGTTACCGATTCCTGGATTTTGCGGGTCTTGGTATTGCGTGGGCGGAAGTCCGGGTTGCTGACTTGAACTTGGAGCTGGAGACGCGGCAAAGACTTGCGGAGACTGAGAGTAGGGTCCCGTCGGTAGGGGTTGCGGTAATTGGGGTGGTTGCCTCGGTCTTGAAAGTCCATTTGCGAACCCGGCGATTTGAGCTCTTATCGGTGCATCCCTGAAGTCTTGCAGGATCCTCTGTTGTTGTCTCGCGTACTCGGTGAGCTTCGGCCTGGTACCTGGGGGTGCTGCGCGAGGTTCGCGCAGTGAGTAAACGGTTCAGTCATTAGTAAATGAGTTTAATTCAAATCCGAAGTAAAAGGGTTACATGACGAAAACTTACGTTTATAAGTCGGAGCCGGTGGCAAAACTTGCGGTCCTGTTTGTTCCAACGGAGATTGCAAGTAAACGTATTGTTGGGGTGCAGCAGCAGTTAAACCGTTGTAACTCGATTGACTCCCGATGGATGTCGTGTACTGTTGTTGGGGTTGTTGACCGAATCCCGAGAATGATCCTTGGAAAAGAGTACCACCCTCCGGAGAAAGTACGTATCTGGTCGTGGCGGCGCCCCCGGATTGTTGTCTGGTACCATCCTTGGAAACGACCAATTGACTGTATAACTGCGTCGGAGATTGAGTGGTGGTAGCAGTCACTTGCGATTGTTGCTGTTGCTGTTGCTGAGCGGCCAACTGATGTAATAAATTGTAATATTCCGGTGAAACTTGTACCGAGGATTGTCTTTCTTGTCTTCTACTTCCTCCTTCAGCGGCTGGTGATCTCTTAACTCTTATTTCCGGTTCGAGTGATTCGTATTCGAGCATAAGAAGTACTTTGTCGTTTTCATTGGCTTTGATGTCGGAACCGAAAACGGCCGCCAAGAAAAATATAACTGTAAATAAAAAAAAAATAAATAAAATTTAAATTTAAATTATGTAATTTCCTATTAAAAAAAAAAAATTTTATGTACATGACCGCATATTCGCATTTCAGAAAATAAATAAATAAATTTTTTTTGGTTTATATTATGTAAATTATTACATTTTTATTTATTTATTTATTTATTTATTATAAATAACATTTCCTTGACTTAATTTTATAAAAAAAAAAAAAATTTCTACACGTAGGAAAAGTACACGTGTACTACGAAAAAAAAAAAAAAAACTAATTACACGTTTAAATGCGTATCCAACCAAAAAATTTGTTTTTTTTTTTTTTTTTTTTCTATTTTTTTTTTCTCTCTCTCTCTCTCTCTCTTTCTCTTACAACACACACAGTAATATTCAAATAATAATTATACCTGAGAGAAAGAGAGAGAGAGAGAGAGTTAAGTAAACAGGATATGATGAAGTAGCCAAATAAATAAATAAATTGTGAACTATTTGAAATTTGAAATTAAAATTTGAATTTTTTTTTTTTTTACACGATTTTTAAATTGCACGAAATTTATTTATTTAGGATGTTATAATAATAATAATAATAATAATAATCATAATAATTTTTAACTCACGTGGAAAAAGTAATTAAAAGAAATTTAAATTAAAAAAATTCTCTCTGTATGCCTTCTTTAACGAGTTATTGCCTATGGCATTCATTTCAAAAAAGAAAAATTATCATTATCATTATTATTATTATTATTATTATTAAATCGTTTTCATTTCATCACGTGTAATGATAAAAACCGTTATAAATTTCTCATAAATTTAAATTTAACAAAAAAAATATTATCTAACAATAATTATTATTATTAATTAATTAATGGGCCCCCCTTTATAAATTTCACTCATAAATTAATTATCGATAAATAAATTTTTAATAATAATAATAACCAGTTCTCGAATAATAATAATAATCAGTTCTCGAATAATAATAATAATAATCAGTTCTCGAATATTAATAATAATAATTAATTACAATGATCTACATAAAACAAAAATTGTAATAATATTATTCAGATTCATTTTTAAAATATATATATATATATATAAAAGGAAAAACATTTTTTACTTTTCGAATGGCATAAATATATATTATTCATGAATCGTCATCATTATTTTTTTTTTAAAAACGATTGTAAATGATTCCTAATTATCATAAATGAATAATAAAGACACAACTCACTAACTAATACTATATTTATTTCCTTTTCTTTTCTTTTCTTTTTGATGAAAATGATTCGATATATTCGAAATTTATTCGAAATTTAAGCGATTTTTATAATATCGACTTGCCAACTGTTGCCAATTTTATATGAAAATGAAAAATAAGATTGTTTTTACTAAATTTTCTGGTTGATTATATATATGATGTAATAGTTTATTATTAAGGAAAAGTAATATGTACAAGTTTTTTTTTTTTTTAGTAAATTAAGTTAGTAGTGTCGAGTAAAAGTCAAATTTTTTCACTTCTCGTTTTCTGGCAAGTTATTTTAATTAATTTAATTATTTTATCATTTCCTTATAGTAATTTGATTATTTCATTAATTTTTTTAATAAGTGTTTGATGGATTTAGATAATTAAATATATAAATAATAATAATAATAATAAAGTTGGCAAGCGGGATCAGAGGCAGGCATAAATCTCTTATTAATTTACATTCGATTGAAATTTTTTTTTTTTTCGATTACATAATTTAACATGTTTCAATTGTTGAGAGCCATTCATAAAAGTAAAAATGTTTTCTTTCTTTCTTTTTTTATTATACAATTATATTTTTTATCCGTAATAAAATTAATATTAAAAAAAAAAAAAAAAAAAAAAAAATTGCAAAATTTCATTTTACCAAGGTTTTTTTTTTCTTTATCCTATTTGATTTATATCCCTTTTTCTAACGTAAGATAATTTTGTTACAATTTCTTTTTATAGACAAGGTTAAAATGTTTCCTTGCTTTAGTATTAATTATAATAAATACGATTAAGATAGAATAAAGATTTTAAATTAAACCGAATCGACGTCAAGGAAATGCTTTTTTTTCTCCTAACCACGTTTAAATTTTTTTTTTTTCCACCTCGGATTATATACATTTATACGATTTTACGGTTATTATTATTAATTTAAAACGTTTTGCTATGATTAAAATTAAAATTTATTACCTTGTTAAGCATTTTTTTCACGTAAAACAAACGATTTTCCTTGTTAAATGAATAACTATATGTATAACTACAACCTCACTGCGTTAAAACCATGAACACTCTGACCGACATCTTGGATCTTGTGACACGATGAGCGTCGATGGTTTGTTTGTTTCAATTACCCGCGAAATTTTTTCCCGCTCAAAAATTTTAAATTTTATTATTATTACGCGAAATAAACAAATACGTTAGGAAATACCTAAACGCGAAGGATGAAAGGGAAAATGTCGCATTTAATTCACTTAATTTAATGTCGGGTAATTAAAAAAAAAAAAATTTTCTTTGGGCGAATAATAATAATAATAATAATAATAATAATAAAGCAAGCAAGGTGATTTAATTGTTGGAGAGAAAGTCTACTGCTACTACTACTACTACTACTACTGACCTTATACTTCCTAAATTTTTTTTTTTTTTTTTTTCCTGGAATTAAAATTACGATTTTAATTCCATGTTTTAAATTTATCAAAAAGAGATTTATTCAGATTTTTTTAAAATTCTCAACCGTTTTTAATCGTTAAAATCTCGTATTTATTTGAAAAAAAAAAAAAAACGGATATGAAAACAACCGGTTAATAAAAAAATAAATATTTTTTTTCCCTTCCCTTTCGTTTTAAAATCAGGCGATTTGCCAAAATAAAAAAAAAAATTAATGTTTATCGTAAATAATATAATCAAAAAACTTTTTAAACTATTTATGACGTCATTGAAATAAATTTATTAAGTAATAATAATAATAATAATAATAATAAACGAGAAGAGAAAATTATAGACGAGACTATAATCTAATAAATAATAAAAATTCGTGACAAAATAATTAAAAACAACTCAATCGAATTAATAATAATAATAATAATAAAGAGAAGAAAGAAAATGGTAGACTAGTATTTTTATTTTTTTTAATTAATTAATTTTTTAAAAGATTCGACAAAAAAAAAAAAAAAAAAAATTGGCTCGTCGGGTCGTTGTTGTCGTTATTGCGTTAATTTAAAAAAAAAAAATGGCGGCTAATTTTAATCGTTTCCCTTATTTTTCCTTCTTGGAATGAAAGAACTAATTTCATTATTATTATCGTTATTATTATTATTATTATTATTATTTATTTATTTAAAATTATATTACCCCCATTTTTTAGATTTAGTTTTTTGTAAAAAAAAAAAAAAAAAAAAAATTTTTTTTATAACCCTACCTGTCCCGCTAAAAAATACTCAGCCTTGAGTTATTTTACTATTTTTTTTTTTTTTTTTTTTTTTTTTAGTTTCAGGTAAAGTTTTGAAATTTTTTTTTTTTTTACTTTGAATATTTTTTATAATAATGATGATGATGATAATAATAATTACGATAAATTTGTCGTGTAATGACGAAAAAAAAAAAAAAATAATTTACTCTATGACTCTATTATTATTATTACTATTCAACGGATTTAAATACGCGCGACGTTAACAACAAATCAAAAAAAAAAAAAAAATTATTATTATTTAATTGTCGGTTTCCCAATACCTATTATTATTATTATTATGATATCGATGTGGTCACGTGGTTTTTACGATAATAATAATAAAAAAACATTTTTTTGCGTGTTCGTGTGCGTGCCTGCGTTTTTCAAATTGACGTTTAATGAGAGGTAAATGAGAAAAACGTTAAAGACGCAATTTGATATTTCATCAATTCCTGTTATCATTCTTGTTATCAATCGTGTTATCAGTAACGTTATCATTTATTTAACGGTTCATTTCCCTAATTTACCCATAATGCAAAGTCACTCACCCGAATTTAAATGCATTCATTCATGGAGAAGGAAAATTTTTAAAAGGGAAAATTTCATTTCATGCCCTTGATATACCCCTCTCTCTCTCTCTCTCTCTCTCTCTCTCATGGTTTATGTCGTTCTACGTCGATCTATTTATTTCGCCTTCAAAGTTTTTTTTTTTTTTCCTGATTAGTTTAACGTGAAAATAAGTGAAAAACCGTGAGAAAAATCGTTCAAGGTTGGTGGGGGCGGGGGGAGGTAGAGTAACGGTTAGGAAAGAAATAATTTTTTTTCCTTTGTTTTTTTTAATTAAATATCAGGCGTTGATTAATTTATTAATCGATGCCTCCCCCTAATCCCCTCAAAATAAAAACGGGGGAAAAGAAATAAGGCAGAGAGAGAGGCGAGACAAGGATAAGAAATTTTTTTTTATTTTTTTCGTAGTCTGTCGTTTGTTGTTGTTGTTGTTGTAATTAAACAAACAAAATTCGTTTGTTGTTTTGTCAATGTAGGGAAATATATAAATTTTTTTTAAAAGTTCAAAACCACCCTTCACTAACCCTGACTTTTGCCTTTTGTCGTCTTCAATTTCATTTTTTTTTTTTTTTTTAAAATTTTCCCAACGCAATATTACGTTGTTGCCAAATTTTTTGTAAATATACTTTTTTTTTTTTCGTTTTGTAACAATTTTTTTTTTTAAATAATTACAATCGAAAATTTCATAATTTTTTTTAAAAAAAAAAAATAATAATAATAACGATTACGATGATGATAATGATGATGATAATGATGCGTGGAAAAAGAAAAAAAAAAAAAAAACATAATTTATCAATATTTTTCACGTTACGAATTATTAATTACGTTTGAAAGTGTTGTTATTAATGTGAAAGAAAAAAAAATGGCGCACGTAGATTTCAAAAAAAAAAAAAAATTTATTAACCG